TTTCAAGGTGGTGTTGAAAAGGTCTTAAAGTCTTAAATTTGATTTGCTAAAACTTGCAGATACCCTGTGGACTGACCTCTGGTTGTTTATGTTCTGCAGAACCGACCTCCCTGGATGAGCTCTGGACCTGCAGAGAACAGGAACTTCCAGGGCATGCATGGAGGACCCACGGGCCCTGGAGGACCTCACAACTTTCCTCCCCCCATGCCCAACATGGGTGGACCACCTATGCCCCCTAACCCTAACGGCCTGCCTCCACCCTGGATGCAGCCCCCTCCTCCTCCTATGGGCCAGGGACCTGGACCACATGGGCACCCCATGGGTAAGAAGTAACACTGGTGGATGGGTGGTGTCATTACTGACATGGTTTTATAATATTTCTGTATATTTTATCTTCACATTCAGGAAGCTCTTTAAAGTTTCATAAATTCAGTTTTCTTCACTTCCTGTGATTTTATATAAAACAGTTGTTTCTAATGGTTATTATGAATCCAAAACATGTCTAAAATCTGAACGGGTGTTTCAGAGATGCTGAACTGTAGGACAGCTGCAGTGTTGAAGCTGAAGGTCTTAATCAAGGGTTTGTGTCTCCTCTGGTAGGTCTGTTGCCCCCTCCTATGRGTATGATGCCACCTCCACCTCCTCCCCCCAGCAACCAGCCACCACCTCCGCCCTCTGCTCCTCTGCCGCCATGGCAACAGCAGGCTCCACCCCCACCGCCCACCAGCAGCATGGCGACAAGTACACCATTACCATGGCAACAAAGTAGGAGCCCACAATKTTTTCCTGTTTCTGTGTTTGAGAGTGACAGGAAATAGTTTGATAAAATCTGAACTGTAGACAGACATGAGTTACACTGAGATGATTCATGTTAACACAAGTTGTTTTTATCAACATGTGATCGGTAAAGGAAGCATTGGTCTCTTATATAAAATAAAACATCCCATTTGCTACTTAACATTAATTTGGCCTGTAGGTAGGTAAGGCTGGGTGATGTAGACAAAACAAATATTTTTTTATTATTATAATTTTACCATATGGATAATTTAACAATATGTTYTTTGCTTTCTTTCTTTAAATAAACACAGTTTGATTACTAGGACATCTATAGACACAGTGTTTCAGAACAATAGCTCTTGTTTGTTTGAAACTACGTCATTAATTGTCTAATAATATTCTATGAGCAGCAGATTTACTTGTTTTCTGTGGTCGTACCTGTGGACTCAGAGGTTTTAGTAGTCCTCGTACTCCTCTGTGTTTCACTGGTAAACAGATTGAAGTGCTCTTAATGCTGACTGCTTTTCAGCAAACCTTACATAAAGTGTTATTTTGAGCGACGTCAGTCTTTTTTAAACTAAACCCAGCTGGTCTCTGTCTCTCTCCAGACACCACCACCACCACGTCCAGCCCTGGCTCTGGAACCCTGCCTCCCTGGCAGCAGCCCCAGCAGCCTGCAGCCTCTGCAGCCCAGCCACCTCTACCCATGGGAACCCCGTCCCTGGTGCCGCCTCCACCCGGGGTCCAGCCCCCGCTGCCTCCAGGCGCCCCCCCACCTCCTCCTCCACCACCTCCAGGCTCAGCTGGAATGATGTATGCCCCGCCCCCTCCCCCACCGCCCATGGACCCTTCCAACTTTGTCATGTTGAATATGGGGGTGCCCGGCATGCCTCCGTTCAGTATGCCCCCTGCCCCCCCTCCACCTCCACCACAGAATTAATCCTCCCCAGGACAGGAGATTAGTTTGCCACCTGAAGCAGAAGGTTGTCCCGCAGCTGCACCTGAGCGAGGCTCCACACACACACACACACACACACACAGTCCATGTGTTGAGTTAGGATGAGCAGTGATTTCATTGTGTGACCCTGTTCGAGAGTTCAGGCTAAAACACACCCGGCTCAGACTGGAACCTGTTCGTTAGTCTTTTCTTCCAGTTTTTAAAGTTTGGGTTAACATCACATCTGTGTGGATAAAAACATCACTGCTTTGGACCGGATGTGTCAACGTTGCATTTATGCATTTATTCGTCATGTTTCTTGGAATTTGAATAAAAGGCTTGACCGTTGAACTGAAAGTTTAATTTCTGCCTAATAACTTGATCACTTCTGACCTGAAAACATTGATCGGTGTTAATTTTATCTTGCATGGTCAGCTTGTAATGCCTCATATTTTTGAATCGACACATTTATACTTTTGTCTGGTTTCTTGTCGTGGCTTTGAGCTGAAAATAAAATATTTTTGTAATAAATGTATGGTAGTTCTGTAAAATGTCAGTAGTTTTAAAAAACGAAGAGAAGCTGAAGTGTAATTGTTTTGTTGCTGGCTTAGGAACACTGTCTCCTGTAGTTTTCTGCAGAGTTCCTGTCAGTTGCTTTTTGTTGAGTGTTGGAGAAATGTTTTGTTTTAGTGTGTGTGTGTCCTTGGCCTGAATGAAAGGCTGCTGAAATCCTCTTGGTTTAGTATTAAACTCATCCAGTTCACCTTTTGTTGCTTTTCATGGACTCTTTGTTCACTTGCCAAGTCTTTTTTCCTCCTCCTTTCACCAGACATGTATTAGTTGCCTGTTTAACAGTCTTATGTAAGGTTTACTTGAGTCTGCTGTGCTTCAGTCCTGACGGCACATTCTGTTAGTTAGATCACTTCAGTTTGATCTTTATACATTTTAGGAGCAGCAACTTCATCTTTTTCATCTTCGTTGTGTCCTTTATTTAAGCCTACATGGATTTAAAACCTGAAATATCTCATTAACATCACAGTTCAGACCTTTAGCAACAACCCTTGAAGTTCCTCCTATTTCTCAGCTACATGAGAGTTTGTGTGGTAAATAAAACTGGACATAATCAGAGCTAAAACCCAAACCTAATGAGTGCAGGGCTCAGAGACAGGACTGGTTCAGATAAGGTTCTGCTGCTCCCAGTGTTCCAGGAGCTCAGTGGCCTTCAAACTGTTTGCAGTTATCAGGAGCTGTTTGAAGGACGACCATGGATCAGGTTTGTCTGGTTTAATAAAGRTTAACTAGTTTGACCTCCATCCTTGGAGCTGAGACTAGATGAGTGCCTGACTCCAGATGGTTCTTTGTTGGAGAACAAGACAAAGACCTGATCACTCTAACCAGGTTCTACTTTCTAGTTATCAGGTAGTGAGGCGGTGCTCATCACCTGCCTACCCTGTCCCTTCAGTGAGGCACGGTGGTGGCAGCATYATGCTGTGGGACTGTGGTCCAGCAGCAGAGACGRGGACTGGTCTAGGTTGAGGGAAAACTGAATGGAGCAACGAACAGAGACCATTACCTGGTCCACTGGACTTTGGACCTCAGACTGGGTTGAAGGTTCACCTTCCAACGGGACCAGGACCCAAAGCARGGAGAAKACACACAGGAGGACTGAGGGACACTGTGAATGGTCTAGAGTGGTCCAGCCAGAGTTCTGACCTAAACCCTGTCAACCATGTGAGGAGAGATGATGTGTCCATCAACAGGAACATGTAGCTCAGTGAGGTTCCTGTGAAAACACCAGAAGCTGTTCATATGAAGGCTCAGGGTCAGGCTGGTCTGYTAATRTTACTCTAAMCTTTTTAAAGAGTGAGAGTGAGTTAAAGGACAAGCATGGCTTCAGACTTTATGCAAAGTAAATGTAAACTAGAGCCCAGGTGGTCAGTGACAACTTCAGTCATTCAGAGGGTAAACACTGTCAAACACTGATCTGCAGGGAGAGCAGGGAGCAGGTGAGGTGGAGGCATGAACTGAACAAAAGGAAGGAAAGTCAGTAACAGTGACACAATCCATTTGTGTATATGAGAGAGACTGGTAGAAAAAACTTCAGGAAATTTAAAAAATAAAGTTTTATTATAAATGTTTTATGTTATTTACATTTATGAGGGTTGGAGATTTTCTAAGGTGGTTAAAACTGAAATGATTTTTAATTAATATTAATTGATGAACTTGTAAGTAAAGCAAAATAAATGGTTTTTGTTTTCATTTTTAGTGTAGAGTATGGTGCGAAGCAGGGTTGATACCGGAAATACAGGGATTTTTGGATTTTTTTTTTTAATCTACACATTTTATAAGCGATGTGAATTAAATGTAATTACAATGTTTCTGAACTTGAGCTTTTTAAATAAAAGGTAATAGCTCACCATGACATCATAACTGACGCAGTTTAAGTTAGTTTTATTTTGAAACACCAAACCGGAAACGACTGGTCTTGTTCTTCCTGTGTTGACGCGGGCACGGAGGGTATAAGTAAGGCCGGAGCGAGGTTTCCCCGGCCGGCTGTACTCTGTAGGGAGTGTGTCTGTGGAAGATCCGTGTTTTAGCTCCACGTTCGGGACCAGGTTCTGTTGGGACCATGTCCAAGCCGCTGACGGACCAGGACAGGAGGAAGCAGATCTCGGTCCGGGGTCTGGCCGGGGTGGAGAATGTGTCGGACCTGAAGACCAACTTCAACAGACACCTCCACTTCACGCTGGTCAAGGACCGGAACGTGGCGACCAAGCGGGACTACTACTTCGCTCTGGCCAACACGGTCCGGGACCACCTGGTGGGCCGCTGGATCCGGACCCAGCAGCATTATTATGAGAAGGACCCCAAAGTAAGGCGCGCCGCCGAGGATGCCGCAGTCCAGCACGTAGACAGCTGATGGGGGGGGCTCTGCAGTGTCACAGCTGATTGTCATTGTGCGCGTGCATGTGTTCGTGTACGCGCCCCCCGCTGCTTTTCTCTTAATTTCCTTTTATAGTCAGGCTCGTGCTTCCTCTTCTCGACGCGATTGTCAGCGCGCGGCTCGGGCTGCACCTGTAGGGCACAACCTTACACCTGAGCCTCGTGCACGCGCCCCGTGTGACCAGCCTTCACCTGACATCCCCCCCGCCGCGCGTCCCCGCGTGGGCTTAACGACAACTAAAAATAAAAATAAAAAAAATAGTGTCKCTTCGCGTGGAGGAGCGCGGAGACGCCACTGGTTGTTGGAACGTGATGACGTAATAACGGCCTGCTTCCATCTCAAAATGGCCACGAGCWGTTTGAAGGACTAATAAAGATCAAACGAATTTGTCCCGGAGCGGCTCGGTTCGGCTCGGCTCGTGCGTTAATGGACCAGCAGGCCGCATGTAAAGAGCCGACACGGATCAGTTCATGATCCGCAGTCTGTAGAACTGGACCAGAGAGACCAGAACATCATCTGGTCCTGTAGAGCCCCCATAATAACAGACCAGAGTGTGTGTGTGTGTGNTAACGTTTCATCGTAGTTGGATTTAGTAAAAAAAAAAAATTAATTAATTCATTAATGAATTCAGATAAGAAAAACTGAGATTTAAGTTTAATTGTGTGTGTGTGTGTGTGTGTGTGTGTGTGTGTGTGTGTGTGTGTGTGTGTGTGTGTGTGTGTAAACTTAAAAGCATGTTATAAATATGTTATAAACATGAAGTAATGAAAGTAATGCATGTGGCCTTTACACATTTAATCTGGTTAAGCCATGCTGTGCATCATGTTAGAGCTCAGTGTTGGGACTTGGGAATGACTCAGTCACCACATCACATCTTAGCTCAGCATCCAGACATGGAGCTGACCTGGACCCAGTTTGTGTTGTTGATCCAAGAAGCTGCACGGTGTGTTCTCACTTCCTGAAGGTCCAGTGAAAGTACTGCTGTGTTAAACTGACTGAGCTGTCCTCAGCTTAATGCTGAGAGATGTTGGATAAAACCTGCTGAAGAACTGAATTCAGGCAGAAAATGTAAAATAACAAAACTGTTAATGTGAGCTAAACCTGAACAGCTGAGTTTTAGTGAAAACAAGTGCAGAAAGATGGTAAAATGTGCAGGAAAAAGCTGAACAGCAGAAATCTAACTAAATCAGTAGACAATTGTAAGTATGAACAAAAACAGCTAAACAAGCTGAAACTACAAGAAAGAAGTTTAAAAAAGTGAAACAGAAATGTATTTAAGRGCATTGTAAAGAAATGAAGCTTGAATTTAGACAAAAGTAAAATCAAGCAGAAACATGGCTAACGATGACCTTGACCTTGATTTTGTGATCTTGACATTAATCTGGCTCATGTTTAACTGTGTGACCGGACATGTCTGTGAAACAGTTATTAAATTAAACCAGTTTAAGGAGGTGACCTTTGACCTTGAGCCTTAATAAAATGACCTTGAAACCAACAGATGTCATTAGAAACACAGGTTAGGTTGGCCTTTCTAAACAATCATCAGTTTAGAGCTGGAATAGAAACATTTGACCTTGTTCCCTTGAAATATGGACACTCTCTGATCTGTTGTGCTTTGAAATTTGACATTTCTAAGTTAAATGTATGGGGTGCCGTTTGTAAAGTTACACAGTCAAAAATTACCACCAGTACTTTTGTTTTATTTAGACTTTTATAAGAAAAAAAGAACAGATTTATTTTTCAAAGTCAGTTTTTCGGCATGTGATTCATACATTTATAAATGTCATAGTTTATAAACGAAATATTTAACTTACAAATTAAATATTTAGTTAACAAGCTAATATTTAACTTATGACTTAAATATTTAGTTTTGAGGTAAATATTTAGCTTGAAACTTAAATATTTAGCTAGATACCTAAATATTTAGGTGCCTAGCTAAATATTTAACTTGCTAGCTAAATATTTAAGTTTCAAGATAAATATTTAGCTCAAAACTAAATATTTAAGTCTTAAGTTAAATATTTAGCTTGTTATTTAATTTGTAAGTTAACTATTTTGTTTACTATGACATTTATAAATGTATGAATCATATGGTGAAAAACTGACTTTGAAAAATAAATCTGTTCTTTTTTTCTTATAAAAGTCTAAATAAAAAATATTGGTGATAATTTTTGACTGTGTAACTTTACAAACGGCACCCCATATAAACGGTCATCTAGTCAGTGCTAGCTAAACTTAGGGGTGACCCTTGACCTTTGACCCCATGACCCTAAAATCAAAAGGCATCATCGTTGACCCACAGCGTGTTACATGGTTTGTCCACCGGCTGACTGGCAGCATGTTTTAGCTTTGTCAGCCATCTTGAATAGCTGACCAATTTTCAGGATGTTGTAGGGATCACCCTCAGCTACTACCACACCAAAGTTTAGCTCAGTTTCTTTAAAATGGATTCAGCTGAAGGTGAAAGAACTGAACTGAGTACAAAACAGAAAACATTCATGGAAAAGTATCTGAAACATGCTAAGAGCTAAGAGTAGCTAAAAAAGCTGAGTGGCTAAAAAAGCTAAGAGTAGCTAAAAAAGGCTAAAAGTTGCAGAAACAAGACAACATTGGCAGACACATGGTGGAAGGAGAGTAACATATTTAAAATTAGCAAAAAATAAATAAATGGAGTACAAAATGTTTAAATTTGTTGTAAAATGGCTAAATGAGCATAAAATATAGCTAAAATTTGCACAAAGACACAAAAGGAACCTGTTTGTTGAATTAAGCAGTAAGAAGCTGAAATAATAACAAAATGTGAATTTAGCTGAAAACAAGCTAAAATTGGCTAAAAGTATCTGAAAACAAGACAGCTGAAATTAGCAGAAAGCAGCTGAAGGAAACAACAAAGCTGAAAGAAGCACAAAAAGTTAAAAGTAGCAGAAGAATGATTAAAAAAGCTAAAATTAGCTAAACAGAGGCCAAAGAAGTTTTGCACACAGACAGTGACYCACAGACAGATGTGGAAACATGATTAGCTTTCTGCTCAGTGAAATAATCCACATGTAGCTGCAGAAGCTGAACCAAGCGGTGCTCTGCTTCACTGAAGCACAAGACTTTATGAACAAACAAGGCTGTTGGCTGCAGCTGTGAGCTCTGAGTTCAAATAAACTACATTTATTAAGTTTTTACACACAACTAATAAGTCTGCAGTGTGTCCAGCATCACCTGCTGCAGGAAGCTGCTGTTCCAGCTAACATCTAAATATCTGCTATGTGAGGTGGTGGAAGATGTGTCTCCCATCCTGAGCACACAGGTGACAGTGGGAAGGAACAACTTTAACAGCAGAACCAGGCTCAGGAAGGACAGTCGTTTGTCTCAGTGGGTTTGAGGACAGGACAGAGACACAAAGACAGAAGGGCTGGTCCAGGTGTATTTTCTACAGCAGAGGTGTCCAACTCATTTTCACTGAGGGTCACCTGAGCGTTAGGATTGTTGCTAACTTTGTTAACTTTGACTAAAAACACAAAACGTCACATTCATAATTCACCATCACGTCTCAGCACTACAGCTAAGCAGCACTAAGAAACACAGAGATGGTATCTGGTCTCAGAAGCTAAGTAGGATCAAGCCTGTTAGAACTCAGATGGGAGACCCCATAGGAATACCAGGTCCTGTAAAACAAAGGTTCTCAAACTGGGGTTCCAGGACCACCAAGTGTCCACGAGTCATATCTTGGGGGTTATTAAAAAGTTTCAATAAATTGTTTGATTTTTATTTAAAAGATACATATGGGGCACAATACACTAGTAAAACAAACTTACTAAACCAAACAAAAGGTAATATTCCCATGGCATTTAGGAGGTAAAATGACAGTTAACTATTTTTCATACAGCATGAGGTTTATGAGGGGGTCCCTGGAAAATTTTCACCCTGATAAAAAACGTTTGAGAACCCCTGCAGTAAAACCAATGTAGGAGCTGCTCCCACATTGGAAATACTAGCAAGAGAAAAGCTTTGACCATATTAGGTCATAGGTCACCTTCTGAAAGATGCCAAAAATAAACTGAGCTCTATGTGGTATTTCCTGCATACAAACAGCATTTGAACATATAAACACTGAAAAGTACTACAAGGAAGTTATAGTAGTTAATGAGACTAAACTGAAATAAATAATACTATTAAAAGAGTTTGACTCACTGTTCAGTTGTGGTGAGTGGCTGCCATCTTGAATTTTGAACTTTCCCACTTTCAAAACTTCCCACTGGACTGGAGGGCTGTTCCAGTTTAAATGAAGTAGGATCTTCCCACTTCCCAGTACAACTGGGCCACAGCAAGAGTAGCTGTTAAAAATGCAGCTAAATGTAGATTTTACATGATTTGACATGTACAGCTCTACTTGGTGGGTAAAAATTAATCAACATGCATTATGGGAGATGTAGTTTATGGCTTTAAAGCAGCAGACACTTATTTTAAGACATTAATACATCTTTGAAGCTTTCCTGGGCCACATTTATCCCACAGGCCTCCAGTTTGACACAGGTTAACCCTAACCCTACAGGAAGAGAGACAGAAACCACACTGATAGAAGTAAATAAAACAAATGCAGAGGAGAGAGACTGAAGACAGCAGCAGAGTGAGGACATGTGGACAGTTTGTCCTCCAGCAGTCTGAAGTCTCAGTAGAACTCCAGCAGCAGCATTTTGCATCAACTGAAGACTTTTCTTTTTGCACACAAAGTGCAGCAGGTTCAGTGAGAGGTGAAACATACTGCAGGATGTTTCCTATCAGACCTGGACTGAGACTAAATATTTGTTCTTATGAATATAAGATATGTTTATCTGCATCATGTTGACTCCTTGTTATTCTACAAGCCCTGCTGTTAATCAGCTGCAGGAGCACAGAGCTGTAGAAGAAGACAAACAGCTGGGAGTATATGATGGAATGGTCCAGGTCACCTGCAGGTCAGCTGTCCATGTCCACAGAGCTGTGAGCAGACACTGTGCTCTGCTGCAGGTCGTCTTTCAGTGTTAACACAGACATCAAATAAAATATTACTGTCCTCTATCAACAGCTTTGAATAAAACATGAAATCATACATATAATGTGGAATACAGTGCTGGGACATGTGGTAGCAGTATGTTGTTCCATATAGATAAAAGGAGCAGAACAATGGAGTTGTGTTGAAGCTGATGGGAAACTGCAGCTCAGACACACTTCAGTGTAGAAACATCCAGTGTTTCACTGAGTCACACACAGCTGGACTCTTCATGTCTGAACTTAGAGATTTGTTCTGGTTTGTTTTGATTTGTCTGCAGCATTCATCTGACAGCRGATGTTTCTGGTACACGTCTCAGATGTCATTAGAGAATTGTCCTGTCTGACCTTAGAAGCTAAGCAGGCCTGGGCCTGGTTGGTTCCTGGATGGGAGACGGCCTGRGAMTACCAGGTGCTGTAAAACCCAATGTAAGAGCTGCTCCCACATTGGAACACTAGCAATACAAAACCATTGATCAAATTAGGTCATAGGTCACCTTCTGAAAGGTGCCAAATCATCAATCAATCAAATTGATTTAAGTGCTTTATAAGATAAACAATACAAGTAAAGTGGAGCAGGTACACGATTAGGCTGAAACTAAACAAAGAAACAACATGGAACTCAAACTGAATTTTCTGGTAAGAACTATCTTTACCAGGTAAATCCCACTGAGCTCTTCTGAAAGACAGGCCTGGGCCTGAAAGCAGCCTAACAGGTCCAGACCAGGGTTTGAACCCACGACCTTGTTACTGTGAGGCAACAGTGCTAACCACTGAGCCATGATGCACCTGACATGAAGAGGCAGGTAGTGAAAGGTATTTTAAATCTTTTAAATCAAAAAGCTTAGAAACATGAATGTGAGTGTGACACCATTAGAGTTTAAGCTCTGATTTACTGAATATATTTTCACACAGATTGTTTGAGTGTCACATTTCCTTGGTGGTCAGGGAGTGACAGACAGGTGTGTGGTTACCATGATGCAGCAGCTGATGGTTCTCAACAAATAACGTGAGCCATGGTCATAGTTTCACCCAATCAGAGCAGAGTAGGGCGGGTCRTTCTTTCTGAGCCCAGGTGAGAGCRCCACAGCTCCTGTCCTCAGCGAGCGTCTGGACATGTTCACATCTCCTCCTCCCAAACTGAGCTGCTGAACCTCCCAGGACATGTCCATGTATTGTGAACATGAATGTAGGGTATACAATTAGTCAACTTTCTTTCATTGATTCTGACAAAAACTTCTGTGTTCAGTTTTTCATTGAATTTACATGATATTAAACCTGTTTATTGGTAACATTCAGTAGGTAATTGCAGTCGCGCGTGGTTCTTGAATTTGAGGTAATTGGTACTGGAAAGTCCTTGAAAGGTCCTTGAATTTGATGTTGATCAAAGTGTGGAACCCTGTTAACATATTTCATGATCAAATGCATGTATAACACTTGTACTGTAGTTTAATAAGTATGAAAACACTTGAAGCAAACAAACATTGGTGGGTCAGAGGGAAGTCACCTGTGTGCTGGATGGGGCCCGCAGGCCACCACTGTCCCATCCCTGATGTAGTAAAACTTGAGATGGACGTACTTACAGCCTAAACCCAGGTTTCTGTTCTGGTCTTTGCAGCGGGTCTACTACCTCTCTCTGGAGTTCTACATGGGCCGGGCTCTGCAGAACACCATGGTGAACCTGGGCCTGGAAAACGCCTGCGATGAAGCCACCTATCAGGTACTGAGAACTCTTCAGCCCCGACCAAGTCCACCTCTACTCTGAAACAACAGAACAGTTTGAAACAAGAGAATTAAATCAGAAATATTATCCTGTGTAACATTTCCTTTAACAGAGAACAACTTTCAGATAATTATTTGTAACAAATCAGTTAAAAAGTTTAGATAATTTTCCTTCTTCCCAACAGTGCACCACWTTGTGTTGATTTGTCACATAAAGCTCAGTAAAATACTGTGAAGTTTCTCATTTTAATGTGACAAATATTAGTAAGCTCTGGTTTGACTGAATTTAAATGYATTAATGTATTACAGTGTGTATTATTATGTATTAATGTCTGTAATCTTCATTAAAACATATTGTATGTACAGAAAGTTAGTGAGGTGTGTAGAGTTGAATGAAGACATTAGAACTATAGAAACAAGAGTAGAATGTTATTTTAAAATATATTTAAAAACTAAAGATGCTGAACTTCAGATTGTTCAGTGTAGACACTACAGATAATCTTATTGTGGATTATTTCACTCTTGTGGGTTCAGTAATCCTAACATTCCTTTCAGCTGGTAAATGTGTCTGCTGTCTGTTATGTTCAGGTTATTATGTTAGGTTCAGGTTATTTCTAAGGTTTATAAAAGTCTTTCTTTACTCWGCAGCAAAACACTTCTTTACAAAAATGCAAACATTTCCAACTGAGCAGGTTCCTGGAAGAAGTTCATCTGAACACAGTAACAGAACCAGTTTCAGGGGTCAGTCCCCTGCCTTGACCAGTTCAGGGTGAAGAGACCAAATGATGGTGAGAGTTAAACAGAAACAAGCAACAAAAMTCCTGGTCTTTAAGGCCTCATGAGAAAAACTTTTAACAAGAGCCAGAGGTGTTCCTGAAAAACAACCAWTGAAATAATGAGTGCAGGGACCCAGGACCTGAGGAGACCAGGTCTGGAGGATCTGAGGAGACCAGGTCTGCAGGACCTGAGGAGACCAGGTCTGGAGGATCTGAGGAGACCAGGTTTGCAGGTTTTAGAGGACCTGAGGAGACCAGGTCTGCAGGTTTAGGAGGACCTGTGGAGACCAGGTCTGGAGGGTTAGGAGGACCTGTGGAGACCAGGTCTGCAGGTTTAGGAGGACCTGTGGAGACCAGGTCTGGAGGTTTTAGAGGACCTGTGGAGACCAGGTCTGGAGGGTTAGGAGGACCTGAGGAGACCAGGTCTGGAGTGGAAAATAAATAGAGAAAAGGCAGAAACCAGGGATCAGTCAGCTGTAAGAACTGTAAGGAGAAAAGACAGTTGATTTTTGAAATTAGAAAGTGTCTGATCTCAAACACACWGTTTGATCAGGGCTACCTGGAAGATTGCTGAATATGACTTAATGGATCAACTGGAACATTATGGGATTGGAGGGGTAGCTTTAAACTGGTTTAAAGGCAACAGTTTGTGAAGTTGAATGATTGTTGCTCTTTATGTTTAGACAAAGCTTGTGGTGTTCCTCAGGGGTCCGTTTTAGGCTCTAAACTGTTTATTTTATGTATTAATGACATTTGCAATGTTTCCAAAAAGTTACATTTTTGAAAAATTTTATTTAATTAAAATTTTCAGTAAGTTGGAGACATAGTTAACATGTTTAAAATAAAACAGAACAGAAAAAAAACTAATGACCTGATGACTTCATGAAGCTCTTAGAGCAGTTCCTGTCTGTCATCAGAGGAAAGATGACATTTTAAAACCTTTTTTTATTTGTTATTCTACATGTTTTCTGTAGATTTGTTGTTTAAAGGGAACATTTGTGATCTAAGTTAGGTTACTGTAGTTTGATGAGTCCGGCTGTGAAACAGGGATGTGATTGTGTCCTTCAGTTGGGGCTGGACATGGAGGAGTTGCAGGACATGGAGGAAGACGCCGGGCTGGGGAATGGAGGGCTGGGTCGTCTTGCTGGTGAGTTCCAGGCAGGCTGCTGGAGTTTAATTTGTGTCCTTCCTCACATCCTCTCCTCACCACTTTGTCTCCTCAGCATGTTTCCTGGACTCCATGGCTTCTCTGGGTCTGGCTGCTTATGGGTACGGGATCCGCTACGAGTTCGGCATCTTCAATCAGAAGATTCTCAACGGCTGGCAGGCATGTACCCACAAACACTGGGTTGTATACAGTAACAGGATATTTGTAGTATTTATTAGTATTTTACCTGTTTTAATGTAGTATCTGCTAATATTAAATGACTTTCAGGTTCTTATAAAGCACAATAATGTCTGTGATCAGATGTTACAAACTGAATATTGTGGAGCAAACATGCAGTCGAAGCAGCCATTAACCTCACACTGTTCCAGACATCATCAACATGACATGCTCAGTTTAATTCTGCATGAGGTTTGTTCAGGTGCTATCATTGTGACCACAGCCTTCAATGTTGACTGAAGCAGTCAATCAAACAACAAATGAACAAGAATTTTATTCATGACAGAAACTTTTCCACCAAAGACAGAAGAACACAAAACATGAGCTCTGAAAGAAAAGGTCAAACTCATCAAAAGAACTCTGAAGTATGAAAGGAGTCTGTTGACCCCTGCACAGGTGACCCCACCAACAGAGCTGTCTCCCCACAGGTGGAAGAAGCAGACGACTGGCTGCGTTATGGAAACCCCTGGGAGAAGGCTCGCCCTGAGTACATGCGTCCGGTTCACTTCTACGGCCGGGTGGAGCACACAGTGGATGGAGTGAAATGGGTCGACACACAGGTTAGTAGAGACCGACACATGGCTGACTTCATGTTTGAAGACTCAAAAACCTGATGACCAACACATTAAAGAAGTGACCAGTTTCAATCAAATACAGTTAGGGCCTCAACATACCCTTTCCAAAGCTGAACAGTCGACACACAGTCACGTGGTTGTTTAGCGTTTGTTTTCTCACACACATTTCATAACCCCTGAACACACACCATGCCGAGCTCCTGGGAAACTCCTCCCACATGCAGCATACATCACTGTATGGGGTTCCTTCCTGCTGGAGTCCACGATGATAAAAAAAAGGTCAGAGACCCATCACCCAACGTTATTTGTGCACAAATCTGTCGTGGTTTAAAGCTCCACAGTTTTTATCAGTCAGATTCCTCCGTGCACAACGTGTGTTCTTTCTCCATTCATGACTGTTTGACTCTCGTTATAAATGTCTGCTTCCTGGTAACTACAGCAGTCGGTTCCTGGAAGCGAGTCAGTTTTTTGGAAGCGAGTGGTTGAAGCAAAATGCAGCGTCTGAGTGCTTTCAGCACAAGCACACACTCTCATGAACCTCTGACCAATCACACAATTAGTTCTTATGTAGAGGAGGGTAAAAAATACTGCCAGCGGGTTGTGCCGAGTCGACGCTGAGAACACGGTGAAGTAATTTTCTTCATGAAACTGCAACAATCTGAACAGATTTCTGCAGTTTGGAGGCTTCAGAGGGTCAATGAATCAGTTTATCTCTACACTCAGCWCAAAGACTCTTTTCAGCTGCCCAAGTAAAATATTTACAGACAAATTCTATGCTGTCTGCTTCATATTTAGCTCTTCTTTAATCAGAACTGCTCTGTTTCAGACTGAAAGCAGTGGAGTTACCTTTCAGTTTTTGAGTTTTATCAAACTTTATCTCAGCACACAGTCTGTTAGATATTGTTTAGTTCCAGCTGAATGATAAACAATATTCTGCCTTTTTATTTTATCTTCTTACAGTGGCTTTAGATCCTCTCTAACAAATGTTAGGTAGGWATTATACAGTGACTCAGGCTTACAGGTGTGACCATCCTTCTAGAGCTCAAAGGTAAAAAACCATTATGCTCTGACTGTTTTTGCTCTGTGATGTTTGAGGCGCTGTTGTTTTAGTTGAAGTGTAGCATCAGTAAAGAGAAACTGTGTGTTGATGCTGGAGCTGTTGGTTTATATTTCCTCAGGTGGTCCTGGCTCTTCCCTATGACACTCCTGTGCCTGGCTACAAGAACAACATTGTCAACACCATGAGACTGTGGTCTGCAAAGGCCCCCTGTGAATTCAACCTGAAAGACTGTGAGAACTCTTTCAGCTACATGATGCAGACGTCATYGGCTCTCTGAAGGCTCTAATGTTCAGACAAATGATTTGCTCCTCTGCTGTTTTCTCTCAGTTAACGTCGGAGGCTACATCCAAGCAGTGCTGGACAGAAACCTGGCTGAGAACATCTCCAGAGTTCTCTACCCCAATGACAATGTGAGGAAAAAATCTGACATTTGGTTTTTAAGCAGTGTTCTTAAGAGTTATTTGTTCTGTTTGGATGGGGGCTGGGTGGGAATTCATGGAATATAAACAGAAAACAAAAGCTTTATTTATGTGTCTGATGTAAACTGAGACACTCACACTGATACTCTGTGAGTTCTCCTGGGTTTGTGACAGATTATTTCTCTGCGTCATATTTTCCAGCATTTAATTTTCATCTTCACTGGACTTTAACTTCAAAATATATTGTTTTCACTGTAAATTAATTTAAAAACCAGAAGTGAAAATGTTTGCAGCATCATTGTATATGTCATTAAAACATGTTTTCACTTCAACCACAAACTATTTTAGTGAGATTTGATGTGGTGGGCCAACACAAAGAAGAACATTATTGAGAAGTCAGCTGCAGGAGGTCCTACAGAGTCCTGACTCAGGGAGGGAATACAAACGCTCACCTCTCAGATTTTTGACTTGTGAAATGTTTTTATGAACTTTAAATCATTTTTCTGTTCCGTCTCATAAAGGCTCAGTGAAACACTGAAGGGACAAAATGTCCAAAGTTTCTAGATGTATAAAAACTTTACAGGCGTTTCCAAAGCCTCGCTGCTTTCTTCATTTTGTTTGTTTGTGCTAACAGCTCAGTGTTTTGTGCTTCAGTTCTTTGAGGGGAAGGAGCTGCGTCTGAAGCAGGAGTACTTTGTCGTYGCAGCGACTCTTCAGGACATCATCCGGAGGTTCAAAGCCTCCAAGTTTGGCTCCACAGAGTTTGTGCGACTGGACCTTTCAACGATGCCCGACAAGGTGTCTGCTTCATCACCTTCTGATCTCATTACCTTTGATCAGTATTTAATCAAATAAATCATCTGTTGGTGAAATGTCTCAAGAAACAGAAGTGGTGTAGGTTCATTTACAGTACAGAGTTACTCTCATCAGATGCAGCACAGAATGATTAAAAGTTGTTTGTGACATTTGGCCCCACGTTGGGCGCCAAATGTTGTCATAGACGACTTATAATCATGACACTAGAGTTAGTTGACAGCCAGCTTAGGGATGTTATTTTGGTAAGTGAATCACAGATCACAGACAGTCTGAATAAAGGTAACCCCTAAACAAAAGGATCATTTACACGTCATCTGGCCAATTTCTGCCAGAAAAATGCTGGGTCTTTCACATACACACTTGTTGAAGAACATCTCTGCTAGGTCATGCTAACCTCATTCTGCAAGTCCTAAGTTCCTTCCTGGAAAACACTTGTGACTCCCTTTCCCATCATCTGTGTGCAGATCTCACTTCCTCTTTTGTAAACACACATTTCTACCTCATACACACACGTACAGTAACCTCGTAACCTCCCAGTGTTATATAGGCTCATTACCACGTGAGGCTTGTCTTAACTTTATACTCTGGCGGCTGTGGCAGAGTGGTTAGGGGAGTCATCCTGGAACCGGAAGGTTGCCGGTTCAATCCCCCGTCCAGCTGTCTCATTTGTTGTGTCCTTGGGCAAGACACTTCACCTCTAATGCCTCTGATGTGTGTCTCATCAGTGTGTGAATGTGATTGGCACTGATTAGTCTCCATAGATGATTGTACATGTTAGCTTTGTAGAGACCTAATAGAGTGCTGTGTGAATGGGTAAATGAGGACAAAGATTGTAGTTTGAAGCACTTTGAGTGTCCTGGATGGATAGAAAAGTGCTATATAAGTACGATCCATTTACCATTTACTTTCTGGACTGAAAAGAGTGGAAATGATGTGTTATTCAGAGAAAAGCAATCGTTCTGTCCTGCATGAACCTGATGAGAGTAACTCTTCTGTAGATGAACTTAACGCCACTTCAAAACCAGTCAAATCTGAATTAAGATGGCCACCACGACTACACAACTAACTGAACTTAAATAACACTAAACAGCAGATACTGAGCTAAACTTTGGTGTGGTGGTAGCTGATAGTTATTCTTAACCTATACTCCTATTTCCTCACATTGTTTAAAATCTTTGACATTTTCAGCATTAACTATTGCAGTCAGCCCAGCCTGTTAGCAAAATATCTCCTGAACCACAGGAAGGGTTTTATTGAAACTTTCAGGAAATAATTTGTAAAATAACATTTGGAGACGATCCAGTTGAGGATGTCTGCCTCAGAAAACACAGACATGTCTGTAACTCAAACTTTAGGTAGCTGAGAGTCGCTCTCAACACACACTCTGAGGTCCTGTTGTTTAAGGTTTGACTGATTGACAGCTCCATAATTTCACAGCATCAGATGTTGTTTTTCATTCAGATGTTTCCACTTCCTGTACTGTTGTCTGCAGGTGGCCATTCAGCTGAACGACACTCACCCAGCTCTCGCCATCCCAGAGCTGATGAGGCTCCTGGTGGATGAAGAGAAACTGTCCTGGGAGAAGGTGGGTTGTTCATATGAGATTATATTTCCTTTATTTTAAAACTGATTTATTTGTTCCTGACACCTGTTAAAGTTATTTAATAAAATAAGTCTATAAAAGCTTTAATGTGCAGCTGTTCAGCTTAAATACAGATTAGTATATCAGAGTGAGACAGGTTTCGCTGTGTCCAGGCGTGGGACATCGTGGTTCGCACCTGTGCCTACACCAACCACACCGTCCTGCCTGAGGCCCTGGAGCGCTGGCCCGTGGACCTCTTCCAGAACCTGCTGCCACGACACCTGGAGATCATCTATGAGATCAACAGGAGGCATCTGGAGGTACAGATACCTGCAGCTCTGGGTTCAGCAGGGGATAGTTCACATCTAACTTCCTGTCTGAGTAAGACAGGCTTGAATAAACTAGAATTTTAAGCTGATTAAAAACAAAACCAGCTTGTGCTGAGTGCAGAAAATAAAGGAACGTCAGAGAAGTTGAACTCAGACAGACGGAGATGTTTGCTTTTACAGTTTGACAAAGTCTCACCAAAAATGAAAAGCCTGAAATGTCTTAAACACTGAATTAACCGTTCAGGAAGTCATACCTGGATGAACATCTACAGCTGATTACTTTCAATTCAAGATGGCTTTCACATTATTTACTTTGGCCAACACAAAACTCTGTCAGTTTGAAAGATAATGAGCTCAAATGGAACATGGTGGTAGCTGAGAGTCATACTAAATGTGCTTTCACCTCTGTCATTTCTTTAAGTTTATTCATTTCTTTAAAAAGAACAAAAATTCAACATACAACAAAAATACAAATCATAACTTAATGAAAGGTAGAAGAAGAAGAAAAAAATCTTATTATATCAATTCAATCAAAAATCTCAGATTACAAAAAATAATAATAAAGGTCTAACTCCTACTTGAGCAACAATTCATACATGATACATTTACATATTTCCCCAACAAATTAACCTTTATCATTCTCT